ATTGGCACACCCTCGGTCCAGGGCTTACTCATGGTTGTGTGTTCCTTTACAGGTTATCAGATCTCGAAGTATATACAAAAAAACTTGTCGATTGGATCATGCAAACTAGTTTCGTAGAATGCGTTAATCATTGAAGGAATTTAATATGCCAACCCTATCACTCAATTTGCTTGATGGCTATACCACTTATGAGATGAAACAAAATCCTAAATCCCAAAACCTAATTAAACCTTTGTGCGATGGATCCTTTTATGATTCATCGGGGAAGATTTCACACACTACGCACCATTTTTTCCCTTGGCGCCAAATGTGTGCCCGACAAAAACTCTCTTGCCCAACCGACTCACTTTGCCACGGAAAGTCTCTAACAAAACCTAAATGATGACCAGTTTTTGCGGACCAAAATTTTGTCGGGTAAAATTCATTTACTTGACGAATTTTGGTTTGTAGGGCAAATAGTAATTTTTGGTAGTTTTTGCTAACCTAACGAGGTTTTAATGAGGCACCTACATCGGAATGGTCATACCCTTGTTTGCATTCAGGGGAAGAGTTAGGTTGACAAGTAGAAAGATTTGTACGTGAAGAATTGAAAGACCGTGGGTTTAGGGGAGCACTGAAACAAAGGGGGAGACTTAGGTTGACAGGTAAAAACATTTGTACTTGAAGACTTGGACCGTGGGTTTAGGGGAGTACTGAAACAAAGGGCAAGAGTTAGGTTGACAAAGTTGCATGTGCTACAAACTTACTGACTGGCACTTGAGCTCTAGGAAATCTTTAAATCACATTCAGACTGTCAAGTCACGAAAGTAAAAAAATTTAACTGTTTATGTGGAAAGTTTTGAAGAAAGTATTAGCCTCTAAGTGTTTGGATTTCTCTTGCAAACTAACATACGAAGCTTCAATGCAAAATTAGTAACCTGTTGCATTTTTTCATATGCTGGAGAAGTTTAATAGTTTCATGAACTTCTATGTACTCCATGTTCGAATTTCAAATCATTGGACGAAGATCTTAACAACCGTTAGGCTGTGGATCTGATATTTATAAGTATTTATAGTAGCTACTTGGTAATGATTACCTAACTCGTGTGAACTTATTGATATTGTGTTAAGATAAGGCTTCATGTCCCCCTTGTATGAGTTTGAGACCCTCTTGTTCCACATTGGTCAATAGTATTTTTTTACTAGCCTTTATATAGACTTATTCCTTCTTCTTAGTAATTAGAACTTGGACTATTTGAAAATGGATTGAAGGCTTGGGCTTTATGGTTGTGTGGATTAGGCTTGGGGCCTTGGAATTTAAAATTAATCATTAATTTATTAATTAAAAAAAACGTTTTGATTAAAAGACACAGCTATTAGAAAGAGTTGTGTATGTATTTGAAAGGGTGTAAAACAACCTATATATTTGCAATAACAGTATCCAAGTGAGATCATCTTTTCTTCCTCTTTTGGGTTGTAGAATTAGATAGTTGAATCCTGGTCGAGCAGACGTTGTAGAACCACAAGCATAAGAGTGGGACGAAAATACTGTTTGAAGGACATAGCTTTTACGCTAGCCTTTACCTTCTGTGATCAAGTTAGTATCATTGATATTCTTATATTAGTTTATGTATTTATTGTATAATTTCATTCTGCACATCAAGTATTTTTGGTTAATAAAATATTAGAATTTCAAGTTCTGTTTATTTCTGTTATTTTTTTGTTTATTTCTGAATTGTTCTCCAACACCCCTAAGTTATTGTACCTACAATTTTTGTATCAATGTATTCACAACGTTATCTTTTCATAATAGCAATGCTCAAGTGGATTTGACATTATTGTTTAATTAGAAAAATGAACATCTAAATAAACTCTCTTGATACCAATCATTAACTACTTGAAGTTGATTTAAACTTAATCCTTAATCGCTAGGACCTTCAATGGCAAACAACATAATAGTTGTTTAGATCACATCTTCATTTTCGCCTTTCTCACGAAAAGACGCACGTCATGTGATTATAAAATAGTTGCAGTCCATAAAAAAAACTACGGTATTTATTACAAAGAGGAAAATAATGCATCCCAAACTCTCTCTTTATATATTTGGTTGAGATATTTAGTACTACTACCTAAGTGAGGGTTGTAGCATAGCAATGGAATTTTTTATTTCAGTTTCATGCCTCGGGTTTGCTCGAGCGAGTTCTGTTGCCAAGCACTCCTTTAGATCCACCACTACCTGACTCATGCTTAGCCTTTCGATGGCAGATGGAGATACGCATGCATTTGCTATTTCCACAGCTTTCCAGACTGAGTTAATATTGAATTTTCCTTCTAACCTCGGATCAACAAGACTGTAAATGTCTCCTTTTCGAAGCAGGAAACTGAACCATTCACTGATGTAACTCCGCTCATGCGTTCTAGAAAAAACAGGTCGACTTGTGATAATCTCCAACAGTACAATCCCAAAGCTATAAACATCACTTTCTTTATTCAATCTGTTTGATGCGTAATACCTGCAAGCCAAACCATGTACCTCAAATCGTATCATCCAATATAAAATGTTTTCCAAAATGATTTATAGTTTCTTTCTTCATTCTTCTTGTTGATTATATAATTTAAGTTTGTTTGCATATATAGTAAGGACATAAAGACGATGCCTCAAAAAAAATTAAAAAAACTCTTAGCCTCAAAAAAAATTAAAAAAACTCTTACTCAGGGTCAAGGTACCCGGGAGTGCCAGCGACAGTTGTTGTTATATGCGTTCCATCCTCTGTAGGGAAACTTCTGGATATGCCAAAATCAGAGAGTTTGGCTTCGAATTTTTCATTCAGCAAGATGTTTGTTGATTTCACATCCCTGTGGATTATAGGCGGACTGCAGCCATAGTGCAGATACTCCAGTCCTGTTTTCAAAATCCAGACACAACTTCTCAAAAAGTAGATACCATTTCGTTATCAATAATGATTGGTATTTAAGCTCCTAAAACTCAAGAGTCTCAAAGATTTGCTAACATACTCTCTAATAAAGTTCAGCCTTACGTACCACTGTATGTGGGACGTACCTATATTAGGTGTATCATTTTTGTGTGCCTAAATAATATGATTGGTTAGTTATACAGACCTTGTGCAGCTTCTATTGCTATTTGAAGTCTATCTCCCCAACTCAAGATATTTGATCTGCTACCTGCGTCCATAAAAAAATATAACTATCTTATTTTATAAAGTCGGTGATCCAGGAAAATAGAATTATCAAATTAAGGACTACCAAAAAATTTAAAAGTACTAGTTAATTAAGAAATGAATGGCAAATTTAGTACGGAGTAATTTCATTTGCATCAACCTGAAAGATGTTCTCGCAGGTTTCCATTGGCCATGTACTCGTAGATCAGGCCTATGTTGGTTTCATCATTGCAATATCCAACAAGACTTGTCAAATTTCTATGATGAACTCTCATAAGAAGATCAACCTGTAATTTAGTAGTTCAGAAGCGCTACATGTAATTTAATAAGATTAATATTGATCCTAAAAACTGTGGGATTAGTTTATTTAATATGACAAACATGCCTCTGTGAGAAATTGCTGAAACCCTTGCACTGATGACGGTGAAAGCATCTTGACAGCTACCTGAGTGTCGTCTATGTGGCCGTGATAAACTGTTCCGAAGCCGCCTTTTCCAAGAACCCTCTTGAATTCCTCTGTAATCTGTACTATCTCAGAGTACGTAAACTGTCTCCCTTTTCGCTCAAATGACCCATGCTGAATGGCTACATTTGCATCTGTGCTATTTCCTGCAATCATAACATTTTTCATAAGCATCTTATACAATCAAAACCTTCTGTTTGTGATTATTTATTGCAGAAGAAGATGACATTAACAAATATGGAATCTTACCAAGTCGCCTTTTCCTTTTAGAAGCAGCCCGACACCAGATAGCTGCTGCACTTAGTAAGAGGACTGACAGTGCAACAACCGAAACAATCATCATCGGAACAAAAAAATTGTACTTCCTGTTCTTCTTCTTGTCGCAATAAATATTTCCGGATAGGTTTGGATTTTCGCACAAACTGACATACGAAAATAATATTGTATTGTTTAATCAATTATGGTAAAAGATAATAATATAATTCCCAAATAAAAATTGTAACACATTTTCTTATATCTTTAAGTTTCTGCAGAATGGCACATCATTTTAAATTTCTAGGGAGGAAGAAGTTAAAAAAAGAAAAAAAGACTGGTGGATTATATTTTGGGATGTGCTATCCACACATCTATTTTTACTTTTCACACACTCTTTGTTAATTTATGTTCATTGATATTCTTCAATTCATCTGATCCAATGGCCGAAAACTAAAAAAATGTGGGATAAGTAAAAAGAGGTATGTAAATATCACATCCCTATATTTTAATCTATTGAGCTCTTTTTTTTTTTTTTTTTTTGCTCTCTCTCTCCCCAATTAAGCTATCAAAGTACTTTTGTTCAAAAAAAAACAAAAAAAAAAACTTACAGCTGTCTGGGTATTTATTTTTTCTATTTTAATATATAGTATTCTCTATTTTCTTCAACAAATATCCTCGTTCCGCAGAAAAAAGGGTGGCGCACCTTATTGATATGAAACCATCCTTCCATCTGTCAATGAGTACCGCCGGAATTGAGCCTGTGAGGTTGTTATTCTCCAAATTTCTGCAAAGGTAGATTAAGCAGTACATATATAGTTACCATGCTTTCTAAATGAGGACATATATATAAAAAGATATAGGATTAACGGAAAAATTAACTGGGATTTAAATGTAACATTTTCAATAGGTTGAACTCAGTTTTGCCACATGTACATTTAATAGAAAAATTAACTAGGACTTAATAAATATGACATTTTCAATAAATTGGGTACTTGTTTGGAAAATTAAAAAGAATTTTGGGTACTTAATAGAAAATAAAAGGTCATCATTAGGTACTTTTAACAAATTTGTAATAGCATCCACATTACTTTACTTTACTTTATTTCACAAATGGAATTTTAGTGTTTTTTTTTTGAAAGTAGCATCCACATTACTTTACTTAGTTTAAAGTAGGGGGACGGCACTGTGCAATTTTGGGTGCATTTCACTTTATTTACGAGCTTGCCACCCCCTGTTCATTCTTTGTTCGGTGAGGGTTTCGGGGATGGGAGGCCATGCCACTCGGGGATCGAGATAGAGAGACAGAGGGAGAGGGAGACAGAGCGACAGAAACGCCAATCGAAGACGCCCAGAAAGCCCAAAGATAGCGTTCTCGAACAGAGTTTCTCTCTCTCCTCTCTCTCTCTCTGCCTTCGTTTTCTGTTGGCATGTTTTAGTTTGAATACTCATTAGACATGCTTTCCATTTTTTCTGCAGAATCGCCGGCGGAGTTCTTTGTGGAGAACAAGAACATTGCTGGGTTCGATAATGTATGCTTTTTCTTTTACATTATTGTTTTACCTTTATTTTTTGGACGAAAGTTGGAATCTTATGGTTTTTAATTTAAAGACTAGGAATTTGAATGGTGTAGTGGAGGTTGAAGTTGTTTCCCACAATTTTGTTATGAATTCTCAATGTTTGATGAATTCGGGAAATCACTTTTGTCATCTCTTACTGTTCGTATGAGTTGGAATTTGGATTTTCACACACACATGTAAACTGAAAAAAGAAAATAGATTTTCGTAATTCGAAGTTAGCCGACCCCATATGGTGGGAGAAAAGCTTAAGAAGACCTCATGTTCATTTCAGATTTTTGTATCAATTTTTGTATTATAATGGTATTGCAAATCAAGTATATCTTAGATTCTTAGGTCCATACTCACCTTCCCACAACTATTATATTGTCTCTTAACTGGATGAATTTTTATAATTTCTTGGATCTACGGTTACAATACTTTTTATAATTTCCTATATGTATCATTTTTGTTCATTCATGATTATGTTGAATTTTTTTAAGGTTAAATGTGTCTTATTCATGTAGTTAAGGCTGGTGCATTTAAGTCCCGCAGCAATGCGCGGACCTTTTTTCTAGTAGCATCCATTTGGCAAAAACTGGGTCATATTTGCATCATATCACCAATTTTAACGGATTTTTTAACAGACTTTGATCGCATGTGTAAAGTGAAAAACAAGTTGAGTTTTAGGAAGTTAAGTGACACAATTTAAGTTACATGGTGCAAGACTCATATTGAGTTTCAAATGCGTAAATAAGCCTATAAGACAATAACAAAATACAAACACACACACACACACACACACACACACATACACATTTATAACAAAATAACTTACAAGACATTTAACGTCGGCATTTGTGACAAAAATTCTGGAATTGATCCTCTTAAGTTGTTGTTTGATAAATCCCTGCAATGAGCAGCTCAACTCATTTAACACAACTGGTTATGATGACTGAAATTCTTCCAGTATGATTTGTGTCATTTCTTTTTGGGTATAATTGATCATTTGCCGTATTATTACTGAGACATGTTTTCACACAAAATTACAGATTATTTAGATACACTTACAATGTCTGTATCATTGTTAGATTTGACAGAGAAGGAGAAATCTCCCCTTGTAATCCACTGGAAGACAAGTTCCTGATTGCAAAGTCCATAACGTCAATAAAATTATTACTGAAAATTAATCTGCAATTTGGTGTGAAGATATTTATACTTACAAGGATATAATTCTTGGGGGATCATTTGCATGATAGCTACAGTTTAGACCATCCCATGAGTAAACTTGAGGGTTACAAGGATCTCCTTGCCAGTTCTTTTCAATATTATAGGTTGACTTGATGTTTGTGATAGCCTCAACTAATATTTTCACAAGCAAATAGAGGATCTTAATAAAACTCACATATTAGGTGAGGCAATAAACCAATAGCAAGGAATTTAAGCTTGTTTAAGGAATCAATATGACTCACCATCTTCTTGGTTGGTATCTGATATTAAGAATTCTTTCACTTTATAAATCTCGTAGGCATTGAGGATGGGTGGAAGGGTAGAGTTTCCAGTCTTAATAATTGAGAAGTTATTTTTTACTCCTGATCCACCCAAGGATTCAGCGGTACAGAATATTGTCGTTGTGGACAAATAATCAGGAGCAAGTGTCCCATGGCACAGCTCTCCGTTTGTAGTAATGTTGAACTGTCTAGACTGGTTGGGTTGGAGCTTTTCAACTTCTGCAAAGTGCAAGTAAACATGATGTACTTCAGTGTCGTCAGAAGACCCCCAGAAAATATTAATTTTGTCCAAACCATTTGAACTCTTGGGCGTTGCAGCTGTGCCCATCACGACAGATGGTGGTTGATACTCGAATTCTGAATGGATGGTGGATGAGGTATTTAATTTTGTCCAAGAGCCCTCGTCGTCAATGTATCTCCAGACTCGATCATGGATATCATATGGATACCTGTACAAATAAAGGTATTGTGTTAATACATGCATACACTGTTGATGAATGTTATATTTCCTACCTCGAAGACTAGACAGAATATAAATTGCTGCTTATAAATGATTCTACAACTATGTAACAGTCATTTCGTGAAAAAAAAAAAAAAGATCCTGCCAGACTATGGGCTGGTTTGGTATTGCTGTGCTTTGAAAAAAAGCTGCTTCTGCTGTGCTGTGAAAATAAGCAGCTGTAAAATAAAGCAGCAGAGTGTTTGGTAAACTTTTTTGTAAAAGTGCTTTTGAAAATAAAAAAGCAGTATTAGAGTGTTTGGTAAACTTTTATGTAAAACAAATGTGAAAAAAAACCGCTTTTTCAAAGCTAGGTTTTGCAGCTTCTTGTTTTTGGCTTTTTTTCATCCAAAACTGTGAAAAAAAGCTGAAGCTGAGTGTTTACCAAACACAAAAACAGCTCCCAGCTTTTTTTGATAGCAGCTTTTTTCAGAATCACCTCAGTACCAAACCAGGTCTATATGTGGTTAAATTGGGGACAATAGTAAACATGCAAATCACTCACCTGTACTCCCCAGGGTCAGCTGTTAGACCAGTGTCAAGCCGATCGATAAGTGATAAGGACCCTTTTACTGTTTTGTACGCGGCATCGGTTAAAGGCCTGAGATCTATAGATGATATAAATGGAACCCCGGAGCCTGTCTTCACCAGACAAACATGTACGTAGTTTCGCAGAGGGACATGTATGAGCTCGGCATATTTTGCTTCCGACGAATTGCGCAACCAGTTCACTGTATCCCACAAGTTAGGTCCAATGTGTATCTCAAACTCGGGTAATTCATTTTGTCGATCATAATTCCCATATAAGAAACCTGCTCTGATCAAATACTTGGTTTTACTTGTAACGTTTATTTTGTAGCAGTTTCGGATTCCTTCAGGGAAGCTTCTAAGAGAGTTGTATGAATGGGAGTACTTGTCTTTGTATTCAGGCGACACATGCTTCCGTTCACCAGTGGCTACGAAGTTTTCATCTGAAATATAGTTAATGCCTGTCCCACTTGCATTATACCTGGAATCTTTCCCTAGGCCACAATCTATGCTAATGAAGCCTGGCACAGATATATTACAAATATAAGAAAATAGTTCTTAATTGTTTATTAACTTTTTAGATTTTTATCACAAATGGTCATGAAATTGATCAACATAGTTCATGAAATTGAAAATCGATCAATGTAGTCCTTGAAAATAGATTTCACATATCAATGTGGTCATTCTATTATAATTTCATAAAAAATTATGTCATGTGCTTATGCAGCGCATGATTGGATCCCATAAATCAATTAAATATTGACATGTGAATTGAAAATATTTAAATAATAAAAAACAATTTTTATTTGTACAATTAAAAACTAAAAAAATTATGAACACTACTGTTCATCTTCTACTTCCCCACCATTAATATGTTTTTTCGACTTTTTTTGGGATTTTTGTGGGGTTAATCAAGGGGTAGGTCCCATGGGTCTTTGTCATACGCTTTTCATAGCCAATGAGAGCGCATGGGACCTGGATTTTGTTTCACAGCCACCTCTTCTTCCAGATTTGAGGCCCATAAACAAACTAAAACCAAGAACTCAAAAAGATTCAATCTTGGGAAAAATGGTCGACGGAGCCAACAGAGCTGCATTCTTGGAGATTCAAGGCCGCATGATTGCGCTCACTGCGAAATTGAAGCATGTACAGACGCACATGCAGAACAAGGAGAAAAGAAGAGTGCTTTTCTAATCATGAAGCTGCGAGCTTCATCGGATAATTCAAATACTTACAAATCTATTGGGAGAACGTTTGCATTAGAGCATATCGATGGTGGAGAAGCGGGACGGGGTCAGAGATCATTTTGATGGAATGGGTCAATTTCAGTGATCATTTGTGATAAAAACCCTTAACTTTATTATAATACTGTATTTAGAATTCATACCTGATTGATCTTGGGCATGAACTAGGAGCAAAAGATTGAGAGCAAAACCACCAAGCTGCGCTGCAAAGAGGAAGAGTTGCTTCATTGTCCGTGACATCTTTGGGATACAAGACACCGAATATTGGTTCCGTAGCATCTCATTTTATATAAGAGCAAGGCTGCACAACACGCGGATTGGTTCCAAAGTATGTCATCATTCTCCTTTCGATACGCTAAATATGTTATTAGTTATCTGAACGTGACAAGTGTGGTTGATTAGAAAATGTGATAGGCTCTGTATCCAATTAAGATCTGGTTTGATACTCAGGTGATTCTGAAAAAACCGGTATCAAAAAAGCTGGGAGCTATTTTTGTGTTTGATAAACATTCAGCTTCAGCTTTTTTTCACAGTTTTGGGTGAAAAAAAGCCAAAAACAAGAAGCTGCAAAACCCAACTTTGAAAAATCGGTTTTTTTTTTCACATCTGTTTTACATAAAAGTTTACCAAACACTATAATACTGTTTTTTTTTTCAAAAGCACTTTTACCAAAAAGTTTACCAAACACTCTGCTGTTTTATTTCACAGCCGCTTATTCTCACAGCACAGCAGAATCAGTTTTTTTTCAAAGCACAGCAATACCAAACCAGCCCTAAAACTATTCTGGAAAGTTGACTTCATAAGAATAGTTCAGGGAAGTCGTCTAGCATATGATGTTCCAAAGTATATCATCACTTTCCTTACTCTATGCTCATACACATTATTATTTGTCACGTGTCTTTTCACTTAATCTAGATTAATTTTTTTTTTTAAATTAAAAAAAAACATTTAATGTGAAAACTAATCAGAATTAGATGAAAAAACATGTAACAAATAATGAGGTATATGATGAGCAATGAGCATACACTATATAGTTTAGGCTTTTTAGTCAAAATGATCATTGAGTTTTGCATAACACATAACTTTGGTCTCTGAGATTGAAAATCAATAGAAGTGGTCCATGAGATTGTTCACCATCTAGTATGTTGGTGATTCCGTTAAAAAACTCCGTTAAGTTGAGGGTATAACTCATAACTTTGGTATTTGTGATTGTCCACCATCCATCATTGTGGTCATTCTGTTAAAAAGCTCAGGGACCACTTAACAGAGTTTTTTAATGGAATGACCAAAATAATGAATGATAGACAATCTCAGGGACCACTTCTATTGATTTTAAATGTTATGAAAATCTCATGGACCATTTTGACTAAAAAGCCTATAATTTATGATGGTGAGAAAAAATGCTCCCAATTTTTTTAGAACCAATAACGGAAATTGCCTTTTAGAGTCTAACTCTATGACTGGAAGATAAATAAATTAAGGAGGAAGAGTCAATGGACGTTAGCGCGCTGATTCGGTATCAATCGAGGTGTCCATCTTCACTTCGTGATTCTAGGGATGTCCAAGGTTGGAAAATTCCTGTAAATGAGGCGAGTCATGGTATTGTAAATGCTATGGGGTGCGTACATATCACTTTGCGGACCGACGTAGGGGAAAGGAGGGTCAGTTGATCCTCCGAACTCTGATGAATCTTCATGAATGATTTGGGTGTTGTTCTTCTGAAGGTTGGAGTTGTCCTTCATATATGCTTTCCAACTGCTTGATAAATGCATTAGAGAGGTGCTGCCCCTTTAGAATTTAGTGTTAATATTATTTACCTTTGGCTTGTTTGTTAGTTGTGATTACAATTGTAGAAAAAAAGAAGAAGAACCAAGTAAAAGACTATCCAAACACGTGTTGTTGAGTTTGGGAGGGTTGATTCTTCTACCCCAGTTTACGGGTTGGGATAGAGAATACTTTGATGCAAGTTGCGACTGTCGTTGTATGGTTGACACTCTAGAATTACAATACTACTAAACCCCACGAATTAATTAGTTTCAAGACATTATTCGTGGATTAGATAAAGATTTGTGGATGGTTCTATATATTTTCTAAGCTATAACACAAGTTAAATATATGACTACTGACGTGGTATATAAAGTCTAGTGCTAATATTATTTATCTCTGACTTGTTTGTTAGTTGTGATTACAATTGTACGAAGAAAAAAAAAAAGGAACCAAGTAAAAGACTATCCAAAAATGCAAAGGAAATGAAATGATAATCTCAGAGAATAAACAAAACATCATCATTCTTGGACAAACATATTAATGGGATGTATTGATATCAATCAATTTGTTGGTGTGTTTAAGATAATTGTGTTCATTTGTTAAGTATTCATATGGGAGTAGCTTGAAACATGTTAGTTACCCATGCAAAGGAGGCACCTACCAAGACTCGAAGAAATGACGATATACATGCTATTTCTGTTAAAAAAATTTATGCACTGCACAAGCGCTATTTTTACTGACCCCCTAATAATATTTCATAGATTCGCCATTGCCAAGGGCAAAGCTACAATGGGCTTAGGGGGGGCGGATGTCCCCACTGAGATTTGTTTTTAATTTAAAAAATTGTATGCATTCCAATTCCCCATGAGTAACACTAATTAAATTGTATGCATTCCAATGCCCCCACTGATCAAACTGATCTGGTTGCAGCAGCAGAGTTAGGTGATTTTTTTTTCTTTTTAAATCTAGGCCAAAACGACGTCGTTTTGGTCTTGGTAAAAAAAATTAAAAAAAAAAAGTAAACGAAACGGTGTCGTTTTGTATATGTTTTATGTATAGTGGGGGACCGCTTGTCCCCCACTATGAGTAACACTAATTAAATTGTATGCATTCCAATGCCCCCACTGATCAAATTGATCTGGTTCTGCTGCGCAGCAGCAGAGCTAGGTGATATTTTTTCTTTTCTTTTTAAATCTAGGCCAAAATGACGTCGTTTTGGTCGTGGTAAAAAATAAAAAAAATAAAAAAATAAACGAAACGGCGTCGTTTTGTATATGTTTTATGTATAGTGGGGGACCGCTTGTGTCCCCCCCCCCAACAAAAAAAAAAATTCCATCTCTGTTTCCTTTTTATTTTGCCTTTGCCAATTAGAGAGCAGCGTGGTGCTACTCTGCCCCCAAATTCCCAGCACCTTGAAACGGAACGGAATAGGAGCAAAGGTGTTGTTCCCAGCCAGTGTAGTGCAGCCACGCCAGCAACCAACCACCCTAGCCAGCCATTCTTTGGCCGACATATATATATTTAGGTAAATTTTTTAATTCCTAAATCTATAATCCCTAAACCTAATTAATTATTTAAGACGATTTTTTGTTTAATTAGTATAGAATCATATGGTAATGCACTAATATGGTTATTGGTTATTGGGAATTTAAGCTGTATTTCAATTTGCAGCTTAAATCCTTTAACGCTGTATACTGTTTTCTGTTTTCGTAATTGGAAAAGTGAAAGAGTGGTTATTTTTCAATCTCACTGGAATCTAGATTCGTCTAAGTGAAATTCAAACACCCAAAAATTGCGAATGTGTGATTACGGAACATCAAAATTAAGTAAATCAAGCATACAACATATGGTAATTTTGGTCATTGTGGATGGTTATATATGTGTCATCCTCTCTAGTATCACAGTCGAGAAAGTTTTCGTGAATTATATGCATTATACTTGTGTTGAATCTTTCAGCACCACTATAGGCGTAATCACTAACGGTGTGATGTCATTTATGGTAGGGATTTGAGTAACGGGTGGTGGAAATTGGTGAGCTGTTGGTTTTTTAGTCTCTTTTGAAGTTTTCAGCTTTATAAGATAATGGCTAGAAGATATAGTAGTGATTCGAGTGATGATGATGCGAGAGGTGAATATCGTCATCGTAGAAGTAGAACTAAGCGACATGATGAGCGTCATAAAGATGTAAATAGGGAAAAGTCCACTAAGAGGGATCCTAGAGGCAGAGAAAGTTCTGATGAAGAAGGGGATTGATAGAGAGAGACAGGGGTAGCCAGAGGAATGAAACAAAGCCTGAGAATGGGCGTAGAGAATGGGAAAAAGGTAATTACCGGGATGAAATGGATAAACCACATAGGCATGAGAATGAACATTAGAACGGAAAAATGATAAAAGGGAAGAGCTCAGAACATTAGAACGGAAAAATGATAAAAGAGATGATGAACTTTTTATATTTTTTTATTATTAATATATTTGCTATCGGTTTTATCCAACATATAACGCTCTTACTTATTATTAATATATTCTCTGTCGGTTATAGCCGACACAAGTTCTGTCAGTTTTATATATTTTCTGTCGGTTTTATCCGACACAAAATGCTTTTATTTATTCATTATTAATATATTCTCTATCGGTTATAGCCGACACAATTTCTGTCGGTTTTAGAGTGTTTTCTGTCGGAAAATTCATTTCCTGATGCAGGCAATTCTGTCGCTTATTATATCCGCCACTGCATCCATTTTCTGTCGGATTTTGCTTAATATCCGATAGTAATACACGTTTCTTGTTGGTTATCATAGCGACACTAATAAATGGTTTTGTAGTAGTGGGTGGAGGCTGTGATAACCAAGATCTTCTTCAAATACCTAGCCGAATACAACTACTTTAAGAGAAATATTATGTTATGTGTAACTAAGATTTGCAAGGACCTTAGTATTTGTTCAAGCTAAGAACTAGGGTTTCCGTCCATAAGGGAACCTAATCCCACTTTCTTAGCTACCAAGTGAGGTATCATAATCACAAGTAATTAAGGACTCTATCAATATAAGACACTTAATATAAGATTGATACCTTAAGAGTTCAAATCACAATCTACATTATTCTCCAATATTACATTCCTATTACATGTAGTAGACCACTTAAAGGTTGATTTATATTGGATACGTTTACATGTCAAAATGGTCCCTGCGTTATAGTCATAGGGTCAATTTAGTCCCTGTATTTTCAATTTGGACAATTTGGTCCTCGTGTTTATCTTTGTTAGCCAATTAAGGACTTTCCATCTAATCTCTATTAAAAAATTCCGACCTCCTCCCTAACGTTCTCTACTCTCCCAATTTTCTTGCACCCCCACTCTTTTCTATGTCACAACCCTAAGAATTTTTTAGATTAGAAGTTTTATCTCTTATGTGTGTCATTTCTCATTGATTTGCATTTTCTGTATATTTAAATTTAAATAAAGAGAAAGGGAATGTATGGCTCTCTTAATTGAGGTATGTTTCTCATTACATGGTCAGAGGCAAGGTAGTCGGGGTTAATTTTCTTGTGACTACAAAGATGGAACTCGCGCGGTGACAAGTAGGGTCATGGTGGATCTAGAGACATGTTCATCGAGTTGCCTGCATGTGTGGCTAGGGTTGGGGTCGGGTCAAGGACAAGGTGG